GTGTGTTTGGTGCTGAGTTATCTGCGGGGTAATGGCTGATTATGACGCGTGGCAGTGAAAGCCGCAAGGAAGCTGTCTCGCCGATGCCGCCTTATCTTTGCACGATAGCCAGCTGTTTGTGACGGTATGTTGTTAACACAAGGTGTAGGCGCCTTGACCCTGAATGTTTGCTTAGGGCATTAAGGTTTTCAGGTAAGTCCCCCTTCTCTCCCTCTTATTCTTTATTTCATAGGTCCTCATGGTTGTATGGCAGCGAAGCATCAGTTCGAATGGCTGATGTACTGCTGTTGTTGATGTTGATGATACGTTTACATTGGTAACTCTTCGGTTATGACTGAAAGTGGAATTCCAGGTGGACGTAAGCGTCAGCACAGTCGATCGCTACAAAGACGGTCGCCTCATGACAATGAAGAAATTACATGCAATATCGGAATCCATGAATACGATGGATAGCAGAAGGTTAAGAAAGGCTTACGTGTTTAAATTGATGAACTTGGAGGCAGGAGGACGGCGAGCGGTATGGATAGATGAGACGAACCGGTCACACCGATCTGGAGCGGCTCTACCAAGTAGAGCCTTACAGCTCAGGAAGACTTCTACGACTTGCACCGTGCTCTCCGCAGCTGAACCCACTCGAAAGCATTGGGAGTATCATTAAGGCCTACGTTAAACAAACCATGTTGCGGCGATATTCCTAAATGCTCCGCGGGGATCCGGATGGCGTACTGAACAAGACTGGATGGAGGATGCAATTGTTGGAGCAGGTTGTTGCAGAAGCATGTGCCTGCATGACGCTGCACCACTGTCAATAAATGGTGCAGCATATACGGAAGACATATACACATGCCTTGCACTTACTCGATCTGTAACCCGTTTAAAACCACTGCTATATTTCTTGTTAACATTCACTGATGTTTTTCTTTAAAGTAGGGTACATCCTTCCTTTCGGTTGGAATTGTCTCTAGCTATGCGAAGGTCCACTCGGGGATGGCAATAATTACTGTAAACTACGAGTACAGTGGGTCCTCGCTGCAGTGATAGACCACGTGTTATTAACCGGTCGTTATGTGGTACATTTTGAGCTACTGATAGCGCGAAGACATGTCACACGGCGTTCTAACTAACTTAGACATGATACGGACGATTATGGGGCACTGGCAAACATGGTTGACCGTGAATGTGAACGTTTCAAGTTACGCTGTTTAATGGATGACCGCTTTAAGTGCGAAATCCGCACTCGGCTCCTTGCTAAGTTGGATCAGGATCCAGATTTGGCATTGAAGTCTCTTGTAGGCGAATGCAAACGGTTAGTTACTTTGTAACACTACCCCGCTATGATTGAGCAGAGTCGCCCCATCATTGCCGATACTGTTCATGCTGTGCAAAAAGCAAGAAAGGCTGGTTCGAACAAGCCGTTCAACAGAGCGCCGAACAAGCCGCCTACACCTTGTTGGTCATGTGGTGAGTGGCATTTCGCACGATACTGTCCATCCAAGCGTCATATTTGTGACAAGGGCCATAAACGCGGCCACAAGGAAGACTTTTGTCATCAGTCCCGGCCAAGAAACGTGAAGCAGTCCTACCGAAGGGAGAACTTCTGGAAGCCTGACAAACAATCTCCATCGGTGATTGCCACTTTTCACAGCGATTCTAGAACACGTCGCCGATTTATCACTGTGCTCATCAACGGAATCCCAATCAGGTTACAGTTCGATACGGCATCAGATATAACGATCTTTTCCAAGAACACTTGGAAGCACAGAAAGTGGCCGAAGAGGGTTGATTCCAACAGAGTCGCCCACAACGCATCCGGCGAAGTACTGAAGCTGATCGGAGAAATAACTTTCAAAACTGCATTCAACGGAGTGGAACAGGCCGGAACCTGCTACTTGTTTGACCGGCCAAACTTGAACCTCCTTGGGCTTGACTGGATGGAAAAGTTACAACTGTTTGACATTCTAATGAGTCAGATTTGCAATATAGTCCAAACCGACCAAGTCCATGCATCATTGTCGATAAAAGACATGAGAAGTTTGTTGCCTTGTTTGAAGATGGTCTCGGTCACTGCACTAAGTTCAAAGCAAAGTTGTGCACGAAGGAACCAAGCCAGTCTTCAGAGCAAAAAATTCGGTATTGTATGCAGCCATGGCAGCAGTTGATTAGCGCTGTACATGCACCCTTCGGGCAGAGTGTGTTTATGGCAAACTGTCGCCCGGCTCCAATATCTCCAGCGGTCTGATACAAGGTTGCCCGATCACACCTTTCTCATTTAACTTCACAGTTGACGAAGTCATGGAATCAGCATTCGCTGGACACGACTTAAAATGTGTGGAGCTACTTCCTGATGAGCGATTTTTTGACTTGAATTACGCGGACGGTATTGCCCTTATCTGTGGCAGCTCCCAAACGTGCCAAGCATCACTGGACTGATTAGCACTAACTGTCTATCGTTTTGGGCTGTGCTGTATGCCATCGAAATGCAAATTACTTCTCCAAGATTGGCAGGGACCAACCCCTGCGCTAACGTTTTGTGGTGATCAGCTAGAACTCGTTCAGGAATTCAAGTACTTGGACACCTATGTTAGCGCCCGTGGGATCGAAGATGAGGTTACGAACTTTATAGCGGAAGCTTGAGTTGCTTTTGCCAATCTCCGCCACATGTGGCGCATACTCAACATTACTCTCTCTCTCTCTCTCTCAAGGGCAGAGTTTATAACGCAGCCGTCCGTTCAACTCCTATATGGTTGTGAAACCTGGCCCATCAGGTCGACCGACATAATGAGGCTGGTCACGTTCGATCATCGCTGCTTTCGCAGCTTAGTGCATATCTGGTGGGAGCACCGCGTGAGCAATGAGCGTGTTCGGCGTCGCGTATTTGGTGCAGGAAGAGCGAGTGAACCGCTCAGCATCATTATATCACGCACCAGGCTCTGATGGCTGGTCCACGTGTTGCGCATGCCAGCACACCGACTCCCGTGACGTGCATCATTTACGCGTTGCGGGTGAGATTGGAAGAGGAGGAGGGAGGCCAAGCGATGATTTGGTCGAGAGAAATGAAAATGGAAGATAGGTGGTGCTATATCCCGCTTAGTTTGCAAATTACTGCCCAGCCAACGTCCCCCATGGCTCAGTAGCTTAAGCTGCTGGCTAGTTGACATCTGCCTCTAGCGGTCATGGGTTCGATCCCTAGTAGGGGACCGAGGGAATGCGCACCAGTGCCCAGCCCCAATAGGGCGAAGCGCGTCTGGTGCTTTTCCGGACTAGGCTCTGCTATGTAGCTTGTGAACTACTGGGATGAAAGCCTTATCAAAATTACAACCAAAATCCTGCTACTCGCAAGTAATATAGAAATGAAAACCCTCACTTCGAAGTTGGCGTCGGTTGCTGCATCCCGACTGCCTACCTGAGGTCCTAAGGACGGTGAACACGTTTGGTTGGACACTTGCTGATATGGCTAGTAACCGGCCCCAATGGCGTTCGTGTTGTGAGTTCGTTTGTTCATCCCCCTCCAATCACCATCTGGTTCGTTAGGCATACTATAACTCTTTTTGCGGCACGATAGCCGGCTGTTAGCTCTCCGGAACGATGTCCATCCGTTACTGGGGACTCAGCCGGCGTGCCACTGTTGTTTTTTCTTCTTGTCTCTTGTATTGCGGCGCAATATCTGAAGTGTTTTCCACCTGCAGCTAACGTGTATAATAAAAAGGAATGCATCAGCGGTACATCGGCACAACCTAGTGACGCATCGAATATTACTCCTAATTCAAGCTTTACACAGGTTGTATAGACGCGTCGTCTGCTAACGCTCCAGCTTATGTGATACAGTGTTCACTCTCGAGGTAGGGCGTAAAGCAGAGTAAGTATTAAAGCCTGAATATCGGTTTTTCGGGCTTTCTCTTGCTGACGCTGGTGTGAAGCCCCACGTTTCGTAGCTGAGGTGTCTAACAGGATCTGGGGCTTTGACCTTAACACGGGAAAGTTACTTTGAACAAGGAGGTGACCAATGGAAACACTCTTCTCTACCATTCGTTAGTTTTGCATGGGCGTCTGAGCGAATCCGGACCAGGAGCCGACAGCCCAGAGGCCATAGTATGTTCATTGTTGACCGTCTTGCAATGCAGAAAGTCGGTCTTGAGATGTAGCGTTCGTGGCGGTACATAGTAGAGAGTGAATTGAGTACAACGCGTCCAGAAATACGGATTTCGGGATGGGTAGGTTTGTTAATTTCAAATCCTGAGAAGTAGTCTTCAAGATTACACTAGTCAGACGCCGACGGTAAGTCGAAGAGATGAGGCGTTTGTCTTGTGCTCCAAAAGCCCCTGGTTTAAATCTGGGGTTGACCTGGCAGTGTCTCTAGCCCTCTACGCCCGATTTGTGTTGGTCGTGTGGCAGTGAAGCGTCAGTGCAGTATACTGCGATGTGGCTAGTCGATGACATGGCATAGAGATATTAAAAAAACTGCCTGAAAGACTTGGTCAGGTTGGTGCATGCCGTCTTCGTGGATAGGGGCCTCGTGATGGTCCACACCAATGGTTGGAGCCCGCATCAGGCATGGCGCAGTCATTGGTGATCCTGTATACGGTTTCTTGCATCTTGTTGTTAATTTTCGTTCAATACTGATTAATTTAATGCATTTCCTTGCTTCCATTTTCTTTACATTCTGTTTGCATTCAACCCCACTATCTTGCCGTTGTTGTTTCTTGTTATTCTTGCGTTGTGAGTCGTGGCAATTGGATCCGCCGCACTTCGGTGCTCGGCTCATAGTTGTTCAACTGAACTGCAGCATACTGGTGTGATGCTGATTCCTACTCTTTTCCTACAACATCTATATATCTGATGTTACGCTACGGCAAGGCAGTTCTCGGGGATAAGCTTTAACTCTTTTTCCTTCGTATTTGATGAATATAGTTCTTTCTCCCGTTTACTAAATAGTTGATGTTGAATCTACCCTTAACCGTTTCTCACTGCGTTTTATCTTTCAAATATTTTTATAATTTCTAGGAGGTTCATCATCGTGCACATACGGAAGCTCTACGGAATGTGTTTCTCAAGGTTAGCGACGGTTACTGTTCCTTTTTTGAGCGTAAACAAGTTTTATAGCTCAAATATGCTCTTTTATAGGCCACGTTTTCCATCTAGGTATCCTGCATTGTACATATGTATGCTACACATATGTATATGTAGTAAAACCTATCAAGAGACTGGACAAAAGTGGTCAATCTACAGCGGCCTGCATCCATGAGGTTTACGTGGTGGACGTTCAACCATTAAAAAACCCGCTCATCTTAGACGGATGGTAAGGTTATGGTGGTGGCCAACTTCGGAGGTTTTACTGTACTTGCTATCGAAAGCAGCTCAGGAATGTATGAGTTAAATTGACTGCCGTGTTACACTGCTAGTGTCAGCTGATAGCGCGTTCTCGGTCGCCATTGTTAATCTTTAAAGAAAAGAGAATTAGCAATTGCAGATTCTCGCAGCGTTTAGTTTGCAACACAACATCATGTCGGAGTGTCATCAATTCATCAAAGTGTTATTTTTGTACTGTCTGTAAATTTAGTGCTTTTCTAGACGAATCTTCACATGCCGTACTCATTGCTTTCTGAGTAATAAACACGCATTTGCATTACAACGTATCTTTTCTGACCACTTTTCGCGCAAACCCTTCGATATGGCGTGTGTTGGTCTTTCCGCGAACTGTCTGTCTGCATAACACTAACATCATATCGGGCTCCATTTTTCTCGTGTGCAATCAGCGATCGGCTGTTGGTAACAGTTTGATTTTCCGCTTAACCATCCCTTGTTCGTTCTCACTTATTCTGTTGCACATTCCGATGCACTGAGCCACGATATGGCCAAGAATGCTCATCAGCCTTTTCGATTTTAACTTAAGATCATATTGCCCTCGGCTACGTGTTTTACATGTGCCTTCCAACGCAGCAAGATGACGCAGATTGCGATGTGTTAACATTTCGATTCCTTCCGCACGTACGCAATGCATAGAAAACTTAACCCCCATGAAACATGTAAAACATGTGTGCATGAATTCTGCTTGATCCGGTCCAAGGCAATCTACGCAACACTGGACGATTGTTCGTGATTGGTAGCGTATGGCCAAGTGTGCACATGATTGCTTCAAAGGCATTTGATAGACCCATGCGATGCAGTGGGATCCCGGTGTGCTTTGTGCGATTCATCTTATGGCCGTGTTCGCCTTTTCACATCAGGGATTAAGTTGACTAATTTGCTAGTGTTCATCCACCTTTTGGATGAGCCGACGATAGACATCACCGTAGTTGCCGGCGTATTTTCAAACCGGATCCTCTAGCAACTGAAGAAGTCCTTTTACCTATGGCTTTGGCACTACCTTGGTATCTGGAGCTCATCCAGTTTCATGGCAGATTAAGGAGAAGGTACTATCGCATGTTAAAGAGAAGGAGGATGTTACTTACTTTTTGTCGTTCAAAGATTACCTTGTCGCAAACAACATCAGCTACGATCCTAGGGATTGAATTCACCAAGCTTCACTTAAAAGCTAATCACAGTCTACATTGAGATTACGCGCCGCACTCCAATCACACAACGTATACTTCAAAATGACCCTTCAATCAATATGAAACATACTTTCAGCTTTGGTCTAACACCACTCTAGTTTACCCTTTCCTTTAAACGAACAAGTACACGTGCTTGATATTTCCATGTTAACAGTGCCAGACCCAACTGCTTGTTGATACAATGTTTTCATTTTCCCTCGTGTTCCTCCCTAACAGTACGCCAGTGTCGTGTCCCATGGCGAACATTATATGACACCTGAGGATTTCATCGTTCGTTTTCTGAAACTGGTGGACAAACTCGATGGTAATGAAGTGTCCGTGACCACATTGGCTCGCGCTGCTGACACGACTAGAGACGGGTGAGCACATTCTGCATCCGTTTTTTTAATTTTATTAATGGTCACCCGAAGAACGATAAATACTATATGACGGCTCCAGTGGTTGTTTTCTTCAACTGTTTGCCCCTTACTTCATTTATAATGTACATGCACATCCGTATATGACTGGTTGCAAAGCGCTAGTTAAATAAAGGTATTACGCATTGCTCTCATTCGAGATATGCGATTCTACTCAAGCACATGTAATCAAAGACGACCAGCTTTTCGAGGTCTCTGAGTCATCAGACACGCCGCTTTCACGGATGGTTTAAGCTGTTTAGTACGCCACCCACGCTTTGCAGAAGCTCAGCAACTTCTTTGGTAGTGTGACTACTAGGGTGATACCAGTGCCCAACGAAGAGCCGAGCAGCCGCTTCCAGTGGTTGTGTGATTCCCAAAGCAATCAACGGCGTTTCGGCTCAATCCGAGATAACTTCATGCACTTTGGAAGTGTGTATCACTTCACTCTGTGTGCAACACACTGCTTCTGTCTTCTCAGTAACGCTTGAATAGCAGCTGCGTCCTATATCGTCCGCCTAAGGCGTTTATTAGTCGATCACACGACAGTACACTCATTCCAGAACGAGCGACTCTAATAAATTTTCGTATTCGTCTCGACCACTAAATTAAAGAGACCAGAAAATAAGCAAGCCAAGCGTCACTCTATCTGTAGTGCGGATGTTAGGCAAGAACTTCCTTGAATCCTTCATCGGCCCCGGAATAGAGGTAAAGAGATTTTAAGACAAACAGAGCTTCGGTCCTCCTTTCAAAATCGAACTGCTCAGTCAACACTTGCAGTCAGCTGAATCGAGATGGTTTTCATATCTAGAATATCTTGCTAGTAGGATCTCGGCCACTATGCACGACGCAGAAGCATCTGCTTGTGGCACTATCAGTCGTCATCGCACCAGTCACTGGATATCCGAGAGGACCGTGAACCTTTTGGAAGCTAGAAGGCACCTCCCGGCTGGTTCTGAACACAATGTGACCAGACGGGCTATTAGGCGTGAACTAAAGCGGAGCCTACGTGCTGACAAGGAAACCTGGTGGACCAGTCGGGCTCAGGAAATGGAGGAAGCAGGAGCAGTAGACAATTACCGGAAGCTCTTCCAGCTAATACGCACCACTGGTCCGAGAAAACCAGGCGTCAGTGAGACAATCAGGGACAGCGCGGGTGTGCTGATACACAATAAGGAGCGCCGTATGGCTCGTTGGGCTGAGCACTTTGAACATCAGTTCAGCTGGCCCCCTGCTCCCCGACCTCTTCCTACTCAGGTGATGCAGGACGAGCCATGGACGGTTAGTTTAGAGCCTCCGTCGGAGGCCGAGGTCCGAAACGCGATCACAGCCCTCAATCGTTTTCGTGCCGCTGGCCCGGATTCCCTACCACCTGCACTATTTAAGGATGGAGGTGAGGTCCTCTGCAAAGCACTGACCTCCCTATTCGAACGTATCTGAAACGAAGAGAGTGTGCCGGCTAATTGGAGCGAATCGATTATAGTGGCAATATACAAGAAGGGCAGTCGCACAGACTGTGCGAACCACAGGGGTATTAGCCTAACGCCAGTTGTGACAAAAAATTACTGGCCTCGATTATCGTTCGTCGCCTCACTGCAGAACGGGAATCTCGGATTAGAGAAGAACAGGCCGGTTTTCGCCCAGGACGTGGCTGTATAGACCATATATTTACTTTGCGGCAGGTGCTAGAGCAGCGCCACGCATACCGCAGACCGACAATAGCTGTGTTCCTCGATTTCAAAAGTGCGTTCGATTCAGTCGATCGATCGATTCTGTTCGAATTACTTGCGCGGAAAGGTGTTCCCACGAAATATGTGAACATCCTTCGTGCTCTATACTCGAACACTACAGGCCGCGTCAGGGTCTATGGTGCCCTATCGGATAGCTTTTCGACTACAAGTGGCGTTCGACAGGGTTGTCCGATTTCCCCATTTTTGTTCAATTTCGTCGTGGATTCTATCATGGAGTGTTCCCTTGCGGAATCTCACGATGTAGGCGTTGAAGTGCTGCCTGGTGAACGGGTAGTTGATCTAGATTATGCGGACGATATCGTCTTGCTTTTCGACAATGTTGAGGCGGCACAATCAACCCTGAATAGCCTATCCAGAGTGGTCCCATTATTTGGTATGCACTTCGCACCTTCAAAGTGCAAAGTGTTGCTGCAGGACCATCAGCCACTCGATGACCCCTTGACGCTTGCTAACGAGGAACTCGAGGTGGTTGATCAATTCACTTATCTTGGCAGCTGCATCAGCAACGATGGGCGCATAGAAACTGACGTGAGCTCACACATTGCAAAGGCCAGAGCTGCCTTCTTGAACCTGCGTCATCTTTGGCGACAGAAGGGAGTTTCCCTCCGTCTGAAAGGCCGTGTATACAAGGCCACAGTGAGGTCCGTTCTGCTCTATGGTAGTGAAACTTGGCCCCTTCGGTCTGAAGATCTGAGGCGCCTTCAAGTCTTTGATCATCGTTGTTTGCGAAGCATTGCTGGTGTCGGATGGCACCAGCGTGTCCGCAACGATGATGTGCGTAGGCGAGTACTAGGTGGTGATGATCATGCTAGCTCCCTAGAACAACAGATAGCACTGAATAAGTTGCGTTGGCTCGGGCACGTGCTACGCATGCCTGGTCACCGCTTACCTAGGAGGGCCTTGTTCAGTCTATCAGGTGTAGGATGGCGCAAGGCTCGAGGTGGAGAGAAGTTGACTTGGCAGCGGGAAATGAAGTCACTGACGACCAAACTGGGTGCCGTTGGTCCGTCTCGCCTTCCGGGTTGGAGTCCACGTGACTCACCTTGTGCTTGGCTCGAGACTTTACAGGACATGGCTCGCAACCGAAACCAGTGGCGCGTCTGCTGCCGTCTCCTAATCGGATTGTCTGTTTAAAGTGTGTTTGGTGCTGAGTTATCTGCGGGGTAATGGCTGATTATGACGCGTGGCAGTGAAAGCCACAAGGAAGCTGTCTCGCCGATGCCGCCTTATCTTTGCACGATAGCCATCTGTTTGTGACGGTATGTTGTCTACACAAGGTGTAGGCGCCTTGACCCTGAATGTTTGCTTAGGGCATTAAGGTTTTCAGGTAAGTCCCCCTTTTCTCCCTCTTCTTATTCTTTATTTCATAGTTCCTCATGGTTGTATGGCAGCGAAGCATCAGTTCAAATGGCTGATGTATTGCTGTTGATGATGATGATGATGATGATATCTTGCTAATTCATTTGTTGGTTTGGCTGTTCCAACAACTAACGGGATGTACGGATACGGTCAACAAGCCTAACCTTCACTGATTCGAATTTCGATGGTCAGTGAGCAGAAATAGTATGGATATCAAGAGTTGATTGGAGGCAATGACATCTGTGTCTTCTGCATGACGACGTTTTGGCTCTTTTCAGAGGTACGGGCGTTTGTGAGAAACGATCAGTCTGATCTTCCTTTTGCTTAACCATAATGTCAGAGTGGCGGCTCGTAGCCTAGAGGTAACGATCTTGTCTCGTAATCTTGTGGCGCGGGTTCGAATCCGCGTCCTTGGGGTATACTCAGCCCGCGTGCGACTAGTGTTAGTCGCACGGCATCGAAGCGCCGTTACGGCGTACAGCTGACACATTATTATTATTATTATTATTATTATTATTATTATTATTATTATTATTATTATTATTATTATTATTGAGTGGCGGCTAAAGTGACCAAAAGTGAGCCATCACTGTCTAACGGCAACGAGGGAATAGAATCTTTATTACCTTATTTGCTTTCAATCTCACCGGTTCACCGCGTTTCTCTTCATGTGTACAATTGATGTCGAGATTCTATGAGTGCCTAAATGATTGGATAAGCAATGACGAGACTGCAATCCTTCCATCTCACTATTCCCAGGGTGTCACGGATTGAGTTTGCCTCCGGCGCACTTACAGATCGTATCATGCAAATGCGCTTGATGACTAGAGTATGTTTTGATCGGAATGCATTCAGCACTTCTGCGTCTGTCAACTCTGATACCGTAAACACCTGCGAGTATGGACTATCCAATATCATGGCTACGAGGAACAACGTCACAGTCACAAAACACGGAGCAGCGGTCACAAATGTACCATCGTCCCATCTGACATGCGCGTTTCAAATGCAACACTCGTCAGCGTCTATAGAATGCCTGACGACTGGTCAGTCATTGAGCACGAACATCGCCTCGATCCGTGTTATACGGCGTCCTTGATCTGAAAGACGATATTGCTTATCTGTTACTGAGGTTGGCAAGCCTCTGTCACTAAACTTGGTAAAGGAGATAACACCAGTCACGAAATCTCGTGAATCGATGACGCAGTCACATTCTGATCAAAAGACTTTGTTCTGGAGTCCATAACACTAACATTTTGCCATTTATTGTCCCCGGCAGAGTGTTTGAATGGCCAACCCAGGCGTGTGGCTGTGGAGTCCACTAATGGTTTAACTGGTGCTAGTCGCATGAAACCTTGGAAGAAATAAAACAGTACATAATAACTAATCATATGTCTGCACTTCCATAGTTCCAATCTAGTAGACAGCGTATGCGGTTGGGGTGTGGCCGCGTACTAACACGGTGCAGAGCTGTGGTCCACTTGCATTCCTGATCCCCTGGGAAACTGCGCTTCGCTTTCTTACTATCTCTGGGCACCAGACAAGCATACTCACTATCCTCATAGGGAGATTGTGAATGGGCGGATGATTCCCTTCTTCCAAAACCCAGCTATGAGGGATGATTATCCGTGGATTACAATCCTAGTTACATCAGCATGGAATACGGACTCCACGGGCTGGCCTGCCGGACAGCCTCCTCGTGGTGCCAACTGGTTGATTCTGACTTTCCCGTTTCAGCAAAAGTTCAGCGGTCTGTTTTCGCCTGGCAGGCGTTCTCCCTACAAAAGTGACTACTGTCTGTTACACAACACCGGGATGTGACAAGGCTCAGGCCATACTGCTGGACAGGTTTTCGGT